ACTTCAACTTTAAGAGCTAATTGTGAGTACGATTCGTGAACAAATTTCTTCCACTACGATAGTCAACCCCAACAAATATGCATTTCCGCTCGTTTGTGAACTTTCCCAGCTGGGAGGCTGGTGACCTAAGAATTAGCAACATCATATTTTGGTCCTTTGCATTCTCTTATTTAACATTCTACAGACTTTTAAAACTATATGAACCAAAAAAGTACGGGCTCTGTGGTGTGGCTTAAACGTATTCCCCTTCTCAAGGCAATCCAGATAATACTTAGGAAAGAAAAGGATTACACTCTCAGAAAAGCTTTGAGATGTTAAAGGGAACGTATATAGAAAACTCGTTCACCATTCTATATTTATTCACAGCTAAGGTGGCAAATTCCAACTTCCTAATTAGTAATACACCTTAGTCGCCAAAACTGGCTTGTACATTTAATTCTCTGAACGTGCAAACAGTCGAAATGTGTGTTTTAGGTTTCTCTTGACAAGATTCATGTTGGAGCAGTCCTATAGTCCTCTTACTTGGACGAAAACAAGCAGATTGTTCTCAGTAAATGGCTGACTTGCAATGTCGGTATTGAGAAGCTCGCCAATACCCACAGTTATTTATAGTCGTAGCTGCTGTGGCGTGTTCTTTCAAAAGGCAAAATCTGTATTTAATTTCGATTTTTAATGTGATAGATTCAAGTACATTGGCCCTCCTTTTTTATTAATATATTTACCCTATTTATTCTGTTCAAACTAAAAACTTAGGTAGGACTGTCTTTAGAGGTCCTTTTTGCCTTTGCCTTATAACAATAACATACTTCTACATTTTCAGTAACCCGACTTTCCCTTTTTTCTTTAAATTCCGCCATTATAAGGTCCAATTTCCCTCAATTGGCACCAGAAACTGAGCAACAGGAGTTTATGATGATGGACTTAATTCTATTAAGTACATTTAAAAAAATATGTGTTTCTTTAATTTAATGTTTTTTGTTACTTCCACCACAATTAAATATTCATTTACACTCACCAACTAAGAATTAAATGTTTAACCACAAAACACGTTAGATAGTTTGGCGGGGAGGGAATAAACATTTAGGGGGCTCTACAAGACAGCTTTTACCAAAACATTCATTTGAGTGACCTAATTTAGCTACTTTTATGTCTTCTGTTATTCCTTGTTTTTGTCTTGTTCCTTCAGTGCAAAGTCAGACATGCAGAGGAAAGCTGTGGAGTTGTTGGAAAAACAGCTCCAACTTCAGGCCGACGATGAGGACCAGCGTATCGCAAGGGCAATCAGGGAACGTGAAGAGGTATTTTTGCGGGAGGAGGCCGCTAAGAAGGAGAAGCAGGAGAGGGGTATCCGGGAGATACTGGAGCACCTGAAAGTGGTGCTTAAAGAGAAGGCTATTGCGAAGACAGAGGAAGAGAAGCAGGCTGTCGAGGACCTGAAGAGGCGTATTGCTGACGCCGAAGCCCTAGTCAAAGAGGAAGCTGAGAAACGGGCCAAACAGAGGGCAATCTGCAAGGAACTGGCTGATGACTGGCTCCAGAAGGCGGTACGTGCACTTGTACGATGCGATGCAGTCAAGCTAGCCTGCGTTCCTCATTGGGATTACAGTAGATTCCCTATCTCATACAAGGTGGTGGATTCACTGAAAAAAATGTAATTTTGCGCGAAGTCAGCATATGCGGCGTGCCCCCAAACTATTATAGCAGTAAAGTAAGAACCATAAGTTAAACCCAGACATAGCTTGGTGGACAAATTACTATTTACTAGCATA